GAAAAGGGGAAGACTTTATAGTGCGTAATTGTGTTTAATGTTCAATTTGCAATTATTAGTACCATTTTAAATTACAGCGGGTTACCATTGTGGAGAAGAGTGGAGCATTTGGTTAGGCTGAAAACTGATTCTTCAATAATTCTTTTTTTTAAAGAGTTTTTTTTTTGAGTGTACTTGTCTTGTACCCCAACACTACAGTGTATATGAAAAGTAAATTTCAAAAAAAAGTCTGGATGTCAAATAACCCATTTTCTAAATGGAGATTTAAAAATGTGAAGCACAAAGTAACTGTGCACTAATATACCTGACCATAATATACCATAACCAAGTTTGACATCTGATTGATGCATGACTAGGAGGCTTTGTGAAAGCTCACTGCAAGCCCTTCATCACTGTCAGATCACGTTCTCTCTCCAGTCCCACATATTTTTGTGCAAGGAAAATTATAACTCTCGATATATGTACAATTCATAGTATGATGAGAAATGTACTGCATGTGGCCATATAGGCAAGTGCAGGGCCTTAATTAAAAACTTCTTTCCAAAATAATAGGGAGTTTAAGTAACAACCGACATGGATACTATAAATAAACAAATAAATTGTAAGTATCATTTAATTTACAATAATTTTTTTATCCACTTATTTATTCTTCAGAAATTTTTTTTCTTTTTAAATAATTTTAAATATTTACAAAAGTAATAATTTGTTCAGTTTCTTCATTTGAAGATGCATGTGATTGACACTGACCTCCTTTAGGTGTGTAGTTTGTTTCTGTACGTTAACATACTACCTCATACGACGTAAATCCCGCAGTGCATGAATATGGTAATTATTCGTTCCCATGGTAGGCCTATTCCATAACACCTCAATATTGCCATCTGATAAGTCACTGTGCATGACACCAGCACAGTAGCTACCTTTTTTATAAGGCAAGTTTTCCTTAATACATTTTCCCCAAAACTTTTTGATAGAACGCTGAAGGAGTATTTGTATTAAGGTAAGAAGATTAAATTATAATGGTGAGATACACGGATCTTTTCCATGCAGAAATATCATCTCCCATTCTAAATTTAAAACATCCCCAGGGCTTAAAACCACAATCAAAGTCAATCCAATTCCTCACAAACCCACCTGAGGCTCCATTGTGGGACCGGTGACTGCACTCAGAGACGGAGAGGTTGAAAGGTTTGGGTTTTTTTAATGAGATGATAGGTACTAGTAAGAACTGGCAGGACCGACTGCTGCAGACACACACCTGTGCCCCGCACGGATGGTCTCATCAGTTTCTATTGACCCAGTTTAATTGGCTCCAGTGGACAAGCTGGAGTAGGTGAGCGAAAGGGACTTCTGCATGTATTGATCCTGCAACTTCCAAATTCTCACACTAGCTTACAGCCCAATGGGTTTTAAGAAGGTCATGTGTAATGTCAGTGTCATGGGTTAATTTGTTCGGACAACAACAGCAACAGTGGCGAAGGATATAGAGGGTATTAACTCCAGTACAGCTGGTTTCATTACAAGTTCAAGGAGTCTTTTTCCAGTGCAAGTACACATGTTCATAACAATTCTCACAACTCTGCTACTCCAATATATTGAAGATTTTGATTCATTCCATCTACTCGAATCCTCAAGTCCAAAAAGTATGAACATGGTTAAAAAAATGGCTGTGGGAATATTCAGAAGTTTATTTGTTAAAACGGCGTAATCCAAACAAATGGATTTTTTTTTTATTGTTCCCAAATATTTTTTTAGAGGTCAGTGTCATTTGACTATTACTTATTTATTGTTACATTAGTTATTCATATTTTGAATTAGCTGGCAAAAAGAGAACGGGACAGAGCTTATAAAGGAGAATCAACACTGGCATGGCTTTTCAGAGATACTGAGATGTTGTAAAATCGACGCGGAAATGGCATTTTTATTGCTCAACAGGTGATTAAGGTGTCTTATAACTGAGCATATAAATTGCCATATGGTGCTCTTCATTGTAAAGCATTTATCTAGGGTCAAATTCATCCGCACAGTCACTCAGAGCCAAAGCACAACCAAAACAATGTTCTTCCACAAAATGCATGCAGTTTTTCTTTAACCGCTAAACGGTCAAAAGTTACATGCACCTTCAACAATAACAACAGTAGTGTTTTTTTTTAGCCATGTAGGCTCTTTTGAACATAGATTGAGAATGTTTGGGGGCGTCTGGTCGTTCCATCAGTTGAGCAACATGTTCATAATGACACATCCCTTGACAAATAACCAAGATTATTGATTAATTCTGTAACTAATTGAGCAAAGCTACACCAGTACATACATTTCCTATAATCGGTTTCCCATTTTAGCATTTGAATCCAGCAGAACTGTCTGTAAGATTAACTTAAACCAGATCTAAGTGATAGTCCTTTACTTTATCATAGAGCCTGTTATGAATGAACATTTAATTTCCAGGAAAATATCTTATCTTCCCACTCTTTTTGGTTATATAAGTTGAGATAAGTTGACTTTGGGTGGCTAAACAGTATTCTGCTGGCATTGCACTGTGGACAGAACGACAAGCGCACAATGATAATGTGCCAGAGAATGACGAGAGAGAGTTAATTGGGTTTGCCCTCTCTTAGGGTGCATACATTAAGAGGAATCATAAATTAACAGACCCATTGAGTCTTAATTGTGGCTGGTGAGTGGAAAACCTCACCCTCATTATGGCCTCTGTGTCTTTACCCTGGTGATCATCATTCAGGCTCCACACAGAGATGGCTAAAGGTCATGTATTTCTGCCAAACAATAAATTCATGAGGGTGAAGAAACTGCCTATGCTTTCGTATGCAAAACTTGATCACAAATTGCTGTATTATTTATATCTGATCATTCTACTTTCCATTAATCAGTTAATGAAGGTGACTTGTGACTTTGGAACAGCATTTTCCTATGCAAAGATAATATTTAACTATCATCTGTTTAGTAGACGTAAGAGGTCACATATTAATGAACATATTCTTTTAAATTTATTAGCTCATCATAATGTTTAGTTGAATTTAACTGAGGTGTGTAACTGAGTAATTTGTTTGTACAAGGCTGCCCTCTGGTGTATATTTTCAAGCATGAAGTAGCTCCTAATCACACGATTTCAGTCTATGCTTATTTTACATTAAGCATGCACATAAAGCTAATGACAATCAAAGACAGAATGTTACTGTTTATTTTTTATAATGTAACATAAAATGGAATCACAGCTCTGATTAAAACAATTAAGTTTTAAGATTCAGAATTTGAGTGTGTGTGATTTAGTTTTAGATTTTGGTGTTTTGGGTCGACATGACAAAATGATCTGACGGCACGGGCGCTTCGGTCTGCGCATGCGCTGGAAGTGATCGCTTGCGCACCTACGTCACTCTTTGTTTATACAGAGATTTCAGAAGTTTTACCCTTCACTAAACATATTTAGATATACGGGAAACCACAATGGAAGACGATTTCGGTATATCTAAATATGTTTAGTAAAAGGTAAACTTCCGAAATCTCTGTGTAAATATTAAGTGACGTTACACGCAAGCGATCACTTCCGGCGTAACATTGAACTGATTCAGTTCGGTTCAGTTGGACATTGCACAACTGATTCATTTCGTGTCTTAGGCCATCAATGTGTACTTACATTTACGAGTCATTAAATCATGTTTAATTTTGTCTTCTCTGTGCATGCTTTTTGGTGGACCCCCTTACCCTCCAGTGTATGACTGATAGAAAACACAGTGGAAACAAAGACACCTACATCTTGGATGCCCTTGAGGTAAGCTAAAACATATCAAAAATTAATTTCAAAGTGAACTATCCCTTTAAGCTGAGGGTAGGTTTGGGCGATAAAACCTGGCTGTTATTCTCACTAAGTTTGGGCACTGCAGACGGCGTCTGTGCTGTTCACCCTTCACCCTACATGAGTAATTTTGCTGGGGAGTATCCATTACTTTCTGAACAGCAGAATTGAAATGATAGCATTCCTCAGCTCTGGCAAGTAATGATCCCAATGATTATGCTCACCAAACACATAAGACGATATCATCTCCTTAACAGTCTGATTCACACGTTCTGTGAAGTTGGTTTGGGGATGGTATGCAGTTACCACTCCCCACCTACTACACAGCTCTTGCAAAATATCAGAGGTAAATTGAGGCATCTCTGTCCGATAACAAGACATTCAGAACACCCCACCGTGTCAGTGTCTCCTTCCTTAGTGTCTGTGCGATGACCACAGCAGTAGCTTTCCGAAGAGGAAACGCATATCCAAGTGTGCGTGCGGAGTGTGGAGGCGCACTGCATGGCAGGGAGGCGCGGGCGCAGACATTTCCATTTTCCTATCAACAGTGATTAGCGGGTATTTCCTCCTGGGGCTCAATAGATTAGCAGCATTCACTCCACGACAGCGAAGACGGGGAGAAAGGCAGCGTGGAGACGTGGAGAGAATGCTTGGAACCACGGGTCGAAGCCAACGATATGATGCATCCAGCGGGCACCAAAGAGCACACCGTTTGCGGGGCATCCTCAGCCGTATAGACGGGAGACAGGCTTTCAGCACACGGCGACCTTGCACCCATACCCAGCGGGCGGCGGTGAATGTGCCGTTCACGGATCCCCCTAGGCCGGTTTGACATAGTAGAAGGCAACCACGCTTTCCGCGTTTTCAATGACACCTCCTTTTCCAGGGCAAGTCAGCAGGATGCCAACATTGGTACACTGGAGAATAAGTGTAGGTAGGCAAAGGAGAGGGACGAGGCAGGCAAATATCACACCTGGTAGTTTCTGCAGCCGCTCGGATGTTCATAAGTGTTTGCCGATCGTATGTCAACACCATTTTACAGCGAGTGTTTAAAAAAGACATACACAAAAGCACTAAGGTTGACTAAGGTGGTTTTTACACCATATATTTTAGAAATAAAACAATTTATATGTTAAAAAATTTACTCGAATCAATGATCAGCATTTACTGTAAAAAGATCACCCATTCTTACAGATCACATTAACTAAAAAAAAGTTGGTTTTTAGAGTGTTTATTTACCCTTTAAAACAACTGTCTGACAGCCGAACATGCTCATCTACTCTGATTAATGCTGATTCATTCTCACCAAGTTTCTGAATAAGTTAATCACTCCCAATCAGTTGATTTCCCCACCTAACATACAATTAATTAATTAGTTTTTCAGAATACTGTTGTCTGAACTACGTGAAATTCTGTCCTGCTCCATCTGAGACTTGGCCTTTTTCTTCAGCAGTAGGATGTGTTCGGCGAACTCTCGCACGGCCCCGCGACCCGCTGCGCAGTGACAGGAATATTTGGCAGCATTGAGCGCCACAACAGGGGCATCCAGGGGTACTGCACTCAGCCCTGCCAGGCTCAGGCACTTTACATCTGGCTCATCGTTCCCTGATACAAAGATGTAGGGACACAGATTTTGAGAAATATATTCATTTTCAGAGATATGTTTAAAGGGGCTATATAAAGGGGCGATATTTCCATATTCATCTAAACGCCACTCTCAGCAGAGTCAGATGTTTGTTAATATATCACTGCAACGGTGTTTCCAACTTTTCACTTTTTTTTGAGGAATGAAGAAGAACTTTGTCGTGAGTATATAGGGGTCTTGAATCATGTTACTTACATGTGCGAGCATGTGCAATAAATTGCTGGCAATAAGTTCTCTTAACGGCCACTGGTGTCATTAATAACAAGACGTTTTTGAATTCTACATATAGCCCCTTTGTGACATTATTAAAAGATAAAAGGCTGAGAAAAGTTTTTAAAAAAAGAGAAATAGATTTCAGTAATCTTATTAAAATAAAGGTACAATCTTTTTATTCAGTATTATGCACACCAATTTTTTCCGAGACACCGTGTCATTACTGATTGTGGCATTCAGCTGATATAACGGAGAGCTCTTGACTCACCCATGTACGCAACTTCTTTCCACTCCAGCCCGTCCTTCTTCATGAGTTTCTCCACCTTTTTCAGTATGTCATCCACGTCCCGAAGGACTTCGCAGCCCATCCACTTGTAGATTTTGTCAGCTAAGGTTTTTTTAATTGGGTTTTGTTCTATCAAAATAACCTAAAGGAGACGAGGGTCACACACACATATACATTAATTATAAAACATAAATAATTGACAAATTATTTGGCTAATAATTTAATAACTGAAATATACCTGCATTAATTTCCTTTATTTAATATAACACTTTTATCTTTGTCACTGTTTTTTTGTACATACAGTATCGTGTACTGCTGCTAAAATGGAATCAATGTATTTAATTATGCATATATTTTTTTATTTTTCAATTCACAAATTATCATTTTTAATAAGCATAAGCATTCATTCCTTTCTTGGTTTTCATTTTTGTGTACATGTACTGTTCCCTAAACTGAAACATTAACAGTACAGAAACTTTAGAAAAAAGAAATTTAACTGTACTTTTCATAATATATCAATATTTTTTTTTTATCATATTCAGTGCAATCGACACTATAATCCGACAGAATAACATAAATAAAGTGGTTTTAGAAAAAAAACGAGCTTCTAACTCCACCTGGAGCGTATTAATTGTTTTGCAAAACTTATTGTCAATCACAAGTCGTGCACGCGCCAGCCCGCGCGCAAGTTACAATCGGACCGGCATTTTGAAAGGTGGAGATTTACGTGATTTAATTGGGTTCAAGCTGGATGCAGAGCTTGCAACATTTCTTCTCGACAGGTAATTGTGCTTTATCAACCAGTTACTATGTCTTAGTGTTACGTTAGTAATCTAAGGAGCCTATGTTTGCCCAAATGTTTGCTAATGCGTTAGCACTTGATGGGCAGGCAGGTTCGTTAACTTTGTTTGCACTGATATCCGTGTGAACGTAACGTTAGGTGTATAAACGTCCAGATAAAGGAATAAAGTTCGGCATTTTGGAAGAATGTTGATGGTTACTGATGAGACGGGCGCGTTCACAGAATAGCTGGTGCACACGGACTGACGCACAAACTGAGGGAGGGTAGCATTCGTTGATATTGGTTAAGGGCATGAGCGTTGTAAACATTAAATATTGTGCCAAAGTTCACTCAATCTGCTATATTTACCGACAGAAACTTTCTTTCAATAGTTATTTTTAAAACCGTTTAATCTACCTAACTACGTAGAGTCATGAATATTTAAAAGTCATTGATTGAATATTAATATTCAATACATTTCCGCAGATGATTTATACGATGTAATTCTGTCTTTCACTGTTTAATCAGTTTCCGGAGAAACTGCCAAAAATTGCCAGAGCCGACTATATTTCAAGTCGTCACGGCGGGGTATTGGGTAAAGTTTTCAATTAGCAATAATCGCGCCTCGGATAAACCTCATAGGCTACGATACTGCCGCTGCGCAAGGATAGCTCAATTATTGAGACGTCTGACTACTTGTGTATCTGAGCCCCTGTGATCATGAATGGTAAGACAAGCAAAACTTACTAAACATTATCAAACTTCACAACACTACACACAAAATATTAGGAAATAGTGCTAATACAAGTGAAATCAATTTGTGCGTTTTATAACAAAGTTTTGATATATTAAAAGGCAAAAACAAGAGGTGTCCCAGGTGCATGATGGGATACGATGGGGCAAAGACAAAGGAAGGGCTGTATAGAGCAGGTAAGTCCCGCCCCTTCCGCTAACCCCGCTGGACCTCTAGGTTGAAAAACCGTCAATGCAAGTGAATGAGAGAAAATAATTATTTTCTAATCCCGTTTGAATTGTGCAATGAATGTAACATATGTTGTCTGTGCATTTTGTATATAATGTTTCGTGTAAAGAATGCTGCAATTTAGCGGGTAGAATTTTCATACGGTTAGGAGCACTTTGTGGACTACAACTCTTTCGACGTGTTTGATATACATCACAACCACTAGCACACGGATCCCGCTAAACATGCCTGTGTCGTTGGTGCACTTCACCACCTTCTTTCAGGGAGAGGACAAACTAGTTGAGCGTGGTGTAAACCGTGATTTGTAGAGGGAAAATGTGTCATGCGGCAACGTCACATATGCGACGTGTAGTCTTTCTCGTTATGTCTATTCCACAACTGCTAGCCAAAGAATCATACAATATACTGTCAAACTCGTTACATGAGAAATATATAAAAAAATGTCACATTCATGGCACAATTTAAACGGGATCATAAAATAATTATTTTCTCTCATTCACTTGCATTGACGCTTTTTCAACCTAGAGGTCCACTTGAAGTTTTACGGATGGGCGGGACTTACCAGCTCTATTGTTGTGTGGGGGTTGGTTGAGGTCGGGGGTGGGTAACAAATTGTTGCCAACCAAGAAATCACCTTTACTCCTTCTTTCTTCAGCATGTTGATGCCAGTCTGGTCTCTAGTGTTGATGGACACCATGTCATCTCCATTTGCTGATATGTGGATCTGCCCATCTGTCAAACATCCTGACACGTTACACAGCAGCAGCTTCACAACTTCAGGTTTGTCCTTCCCAAAGTAACCGAACCTTTAGCACATACACACACCCACACACAGTTTGCTTAAGTTCAAACTCTCCACTTGTTTGCTAACAAGTTGTTTGGGAACTTGAAACACAAGCCTCTTATTCGCAAGGCTTTACATTAGAAAGACAGCTACACATTACAGGTTTATTTAAATACTTAAAGTAATTATATGCCATTTATAGGAAGCTGCAGGCAATAAAAGTATTGTTTTTGTTTTGTGTCTTCACCTCAGCACTCTCTGTTCAGCTACGGGCCAGTCTATGTCAACATCAATATCCACACTGAACTCTGGGAGCATCTCAAAGTAAGTAATTTTTCCACCCTGTGAAATGTAACACAACAAAAATCATAATCTGATTGAGTAACGATACAGATAATATGCTTTCTTGCCTATGGATTTTTTGGGTCAAGCTTTTTTGGCCACATATGATGCAAATGATTTTAAAAACCCAAATTTTACCTGAAGAAGCCCTTCTGTTACGAGTTTTTTGGTTGTGAAGTAAAAGGAGCCATTTTCGCACAGCTCTCCGTCCCAGTCCTGACGGCGAGGCCTTTTAGATGGGTCCAGGTTCAGCGGTTCAGTAATGGGACACTCTGAAATGAAAGAATTGGCGGTCTGCAATTAAAATAAATGGTTAAAGTCCCCAACACACAATAAATTCAACTTTAACTACACATACACTACCGTTCAAAAGATTTAGGGTTTTAGATAATGTTTTTAAAAGTCTTTTGTACCGTTTATTAAATTAAAATACATTCATATTATGAAATGTAAACGCAATTTAAAATAACTGTTCTATTTATATATTTAGGGGTTCAAGCACGAAGTGCTGAAACCCTATTGTTATTGTTAATTTACCCATAATGCAACATTCTCCATGTAAAACTGATCGTGCAGGACGAACCGTAAGTCCTAGAGACCTGAAACTTTGTGGGCTGGTAGTACTCATATCCGCCGACAGCGTCACAAAGGCGCGCCCCGATCGGCCTGACGGGGGCGCTACAGCGGGCAAAAGTACGAAATGGCTCATAACTCCTCAACCGTCGGGCGTAGGCTCAAGTGTCTTACATCGTTGGAATCCTTGGCTCCAGCCGGACAAGATGCATGCCTCGGATTGGCTCGTCACCCTGGGTACGTTTTCGGGTATTTTGCGTTTTTCGTAAAACCTACTTTTGCGAACTAGTCCTAGGTTTTTGGCCCGGCCGGAACCAAACCAATGCGGCGAGATTCTATGGAGTCCGAATGTCAATAATTATCAAAAAAAAGTTGAAATTTGGGTTCACGGTCCCTGAGGGCCGCCAAAACGTCCCAAGTGGGAGGAGCCCCTTTGACTAAATGGCCTATAACTCGTCAACGGAACGAGATATTTGCACCAAACTCAACGCACCTGTGTGAGAGCTCATTCTGTGGTTGCGTTAAAAAGGACGGGGCGACTGGCCACTTGGTGGCGCTATAACTGTTAAAAAGGTGCCAAAATGATGTATTTCTATGGCAAATCCCATGAAATGGATGAAAGCGGCCCTCTACCTGCGTGATTTGCATGAAACCTCACAAAACCGGGCGTGCGCATGCGTCAACTGACCCAATAGAGGCCTGGAAACTTTTATGGATGTCGGTCCACCGGTGGCCCTTTAACTGTTATAAAGGGAGAAAATGCTCCATAAAATCATATGCAGAATGACATTTAAGTGACTGAAAAATGGTCTGCTCTGCTCAAAACTTCACCAAATTAGCTGAGCATGTGCGCCATATTATTCTAAGGAAGCGTGCAAAGTTTTATGGAGATCGGGCCATCGGTGGAGGTGGCGCGGTTTAAAAGGTGAAAAAATAAAACACCACATTTCCATGAAAAATGAGCTAAAAAGGCAAAAAAGCGACCCTCTCCACTCCAAGGCACATGTTAAAAAGTGTGATAAAGTTTTTGGAACGCAGCAGTGCAAGCGCCAAGTGCGTAGACCCAACGGTTTTATTTTTATAGGCCTTTTTAGTCCCTTTTTAGCCCCTATTATTAGGGGTTCAAGCACGAAGTGCTGAAACCCTATTGTTATTGTTAATTTACCCATAATGCAACATTCTCCATGTAAAACTGATCGTGCAGGACGAACCGTAAGTCCTAGAGACCTGAAACTTTGTGGGCTGGTAGTACTCATATCCGCCGACAGCGTCACAAAGGCGCGCCCCGATCGGCCTGACGGGGGCGCTACAGCGGGCAAAAGTACGAAATGGCTCATAACTCCTCAACCGTCGGGCGTAGGCTCAAGTGTCTTACATCGTTGGAATCCTTGGCTCCAGCCGGACAAGATGCATGCCTCGGATTGGCTCGCCCTTCAGTCGACAATTTGGAGTAAATTGCATTTTTTTGAAAAACAAACTTTTGAGAACTATTTCTAGGTTTTTGGCCCAATCTGAACCAAACCACTGCACAAATGTTCTCTGGAGTCTCACTGTCTATAATCATTAAAACATTTCACAATTTCAATTATCGGTTGCTAAGGGGAACCAAAATGTTTGATGGCACGAGAGCCACTTTTACTAAAATGGTTATAACTTGTGACTGGAATGAGATATTTTTGCTAAACTTTGGACACCTTTTCCTGAGCTCATTCTGAGGTCACATGAAAAAAATCGCGATGATTGGCCACTTGGTGGCGCTATAACAGGGAAAAAAGTCATGAAAATGGCCATTACCGCAACCAACCACTAGTCAAATAAAAATTGGCATGCAGTCTGTTTGTCCAGGGTACCTTTATAGTCTATGAGAACATTGGTGTATCTCATAAAACTCAGTATAGGTCATCGGCACAATGCCCTGAAGGAGCCTGAGAATTTTCAACCCTGCGTTTTTTTTTTCATGGGAGTGCCCTCTTCACACTCCTGAATCCTTGACGAGTCCAATGATACCAAACATGCCAGGTTTGGCCTTATAGTTTTTGTAACGGTGACATTTAGAGCTTTGAAAAAAATAAATGAATAAATGTTGTTATCTTCAAAGGTGTTAGTTTGAACAAGACAAAAAAATATAGGCAATTTGAAAACAGGCTTTAGTAATTGACATAATGCCCAAATGTAAATAAGTTTCTAAACTTCATAACGAAATGAGATATTTACAACACATTTTACATATATATGGGCACACTTTGAGGACTACTAAATAAAGTAGTGTAGATCAGGCAAGACAAGATTCTGTTACTGTCAAAAAAAGGCAAAAATATATTTTCCTAAGTAAAATGTTGGTATTGGCTGTAGATGTTCTTTCCTATGTTCTGATTTTATTTGTTTATTTGGATCCTCATTAGCCTTCTCTTCCTGGGGTCCCAACAATCAAATACAAATACTATGTTTAATCAAAACCAATAAAAAGTTAGGTCAATGAACCTAACATTTATTCCAAATATCAAAAACAACAATTTACCATATATAGTGTTATTAAAGGTGCCATCTGTAAAAATTGAAATTAAAATATCGCAAAAATGAGCTACACGCATCAAAAGAATGAGAAGAAATAAGGTTGATGATGTCATTAAAAAAATAACAAGTTATAGTGCTGCTGAGATATTAACCTTGAATTTATTTCAGCATGCTAAATTACTAGCCGCAGCCCGGCAGGTGTCATAATACCAGTTTCAGCCATGGGAGGCAGTATGCGGGTGGGCAACATAACCATCAGTCAAACTGCAATACACTAATAACTCGCCTGGCTTGTGGGTCTACATCTACGTGAACCTGATGTCAATCATGTGGAAACAGCCCACTATTTCAGTTCTGGGAAGAGTTAAAAAAATTATTGGTCAATATTATGCATAAGGAATACATTCTGGTAAGTTGTAACATACTGTTTCTTTCAACAGTTTTCGAGTTCTTTTACCATTAGCTAGTAGAGATGATCGTTTCACGTGCACTCTGTCGTGTAACATTTACAAGCACCAAAAGTGTATTTATTGTTTGAATTGCATAATAAAATTAACAAAATCTGAGAGCTGAGATTTTTTAAATATCATAACTAACCTGCTCCATCTTGTCTGTCATTCTCTGTGTCCTTTTCTGTGCATGACCAAATTGATGTGTGGCCTGAGAGCGTGTGAAAACTTTTCACTGAAAAGTGTCAATTGCGTGTCTCGCGCAGAATTCATGAGAGTTGGCAGCTCTAAATGGCGCTAGCTTGGTCAACCTCAGTGAATGCTCTCTGTCAAATTAATTCAAACTAACAATAGAAATGTAATATGAAAAAAAAAAAATACCATTAAACTACAAATAATAGTCTGGGCTTTTTATTTTCCCATATCGTCGGAATGCACCGGCTTGTATTTGATACAGGCGTCTATGAGACGGACTTTATAATTTAGTGCTGAGATGTTGTTCATTGAGTCTCTAATCTCTAAAAATCTCCAAATGCTACACGTGAAACTGCGGCCTTCCAACCTTTTACTATCGTGTCAAATGATTTGATTAATATGCACTAGGTAGAGGGAGCAAAACAGCGCTCACCTGTGTTGTTTGAAGACGTGAGAGTGCACATGAGCGCGGCCGCTACACAACTCACTTTCTGGAGGTATACTGCGCCCATCTGGTATGGAATATGGAGTATGATTTGATTTTTTTTGCCAGATGTCACCTTTAAAATAGTTTCACCTTTAAAGTAATTTTCCTAATTAGAAAATGTGTAATATCAATGGTAAATCCTTCCATAGTTTCATTCTTCTATACATTACAGTCCAATGTTTTGTAGTGGATTTTGAAACAGGAAACATCTCTTTTATGCATGTCTGGTGTTAAAACATGAGTAGCACTACTATACAAAATTTGAGAGTACAGGAAATTTGGAATTCTTGACACAGAAATATTTCTTATAAAACAAAGCAGACACAATCTTTCATCAGTAGGCTACATTCTTATTCTTATATTTTTTGTCTTTATGCACTCATTCAAAAGCCTATAAATAATAAATAAAAACTCAGAACTTCACAAAAATTGATGAGCGTATGTGACATAACATGCTGAAGAAGCATGCACAGTTTCATGGAGATCGAACCATAGGTGGCGCTATAACTGTTAAAAATCTTTAAAACCATGCATTTCCAATAGTAAATTGCCTGTATTGGCTGTGAATGGTGTTTTCCATTTCCAATATTTTCCATCTACTCCTGAAAGTCAAGGTGGATTATTGGGAGGAATTGTGAAGCATTGTGTTTTGAGTCAAATCCAATATTGGATTCCATTTGTATTGGATTCAGAATCAGAATCCATTTGTATTCCAGTATTGGGTTTGAAAGTTTTTATTTTTCTTCACAAATTGCGGAAATTGAATCATTGTTGAATCATTCATCCCAAAAGAAACGGTAGGGTGCAACAGTCCACAAAATTCACAGTTCAGTGTATACAATTTTGTGTGCGATACATTGGTGTCATGGTTCAGTTCGTTTTAGATACAACAAAAAGAAAGAAATGCCAAAGAAATTTCCTTTTAATTTTTTTTTCTTTTTAAATTTAAACTAGCATCATAAAGTATGATCATTTTTTTTACTTTGAACAAAGATGGAGATATACTTGACTCTAAATATGGTATATCATGGTAAATCATGCTTTCTACATAACACTTAATGTCTTTTGATGCTTTTGTGCTTAAAGGCCTTCAAGGCCTAAACTGCTTGAACCCCGCTAAATGCTGCTTGCAGCTTTAATTTAAAATGTAATTATTCCCGTGATGGCAAAGCTGAATTTTCAGCATCATTACTCCAGTCCTTATTGTCACATGATCCTTCAGAAATCATTCTAATATGTTGATTTGCTGCTCAAGAAACATTTTATTATAATCAATGTTGAACATTTGAAATCTTTTGAAACATTATACATGTCTTCCCTTTTGATCAGTGTCTTGAATCCTGGCTGAATAATAGTAGGCAACATTATATCTGTGAACATTGAGAGATTACACTTTAACAAACCTCCTTTCTTGACCTCTTGCCATCGAAAATGGTGTCGGCGGACCACAGAGAAGACAGATTCAAAGCCCTGATGGGTCATGAGCTCAAGAGCCTCTTTGAGATGGTAAGGGTGCAGACATGGAGATGTGGCCTGGATGTTACAGATGATATCCACCTCTGTGCAAGAACATTCAATTTTACTTAACCACTCTCCCATTTATAGCCATTTAATGGATTTCTGAGATCCACCATTAACTTTTTACACACTTCAGATAATCAGAGGTTAAAGGAGAATATTGGTCAAAGCTTATCTCTATATTTTGGGAATCTAGGAAGGTTTTGAAGCTTGCAACCTTGAGAAATTAGCTATGCGTGTCTCTTGATAAAGGCCTGGCTGGGAATAAATATATTGAATCAGGCTCGTAACATAATAATTATTACAAACAGGTGATTTTATTATAAACTTTCTTCTTCATCATTGCACAGAACTGTTCCAGCCACAGAATCTGTTTTTCTGGTTTTATTCACAATGCAAATAAAAGACATAGTGGGTGAACCTGTCCTGGTATGCAACGAGAAGTATGATGATCAACATTTAAGCTGGTATACGTGGCCACTTTCCTGTTTCTATCTTTGCTGCTTGACTGGACACACTTGTTCTACAAGCTCTAGTTACACCCCATATACAGAACTAAGCCATTAGCCATGCAATGAAATTTGACTGCAATAGCGCCGGATTTCTAACCTGGGTATTTACTGCTGAACTCCTGAATGGCCTCCAGTGAACTTGAACAGTCTTTGGACACACTTGGACACCTCTTGTGCACTTTAGCACCCCAGGCCTTGGCCACTTTCGCAATATCTTCATGATCAGTGGACACCCAAACACTACAAAACATGCATAGGAAACATAAGTAGCACTGTCATACAGTACAGCAAATCATGGAGTGACGTCTCGTCCGTCCTCTCAGTCTCACCTATGAAAGACACCAGAGTCCAGCGCGGCTCTGATCACCCATCCGATCAGGGGAACGCCTGCCAACATCTTGATGTTCTTCAGAGGGATGCCTTTGCTTCCTCCACGGGCGAGAATAAGAGCAGCGATGTGTTTTGAATCGTCCAAATGGACTTTTCTTCGTTTTGTGCTGGAATTGTTATCATGGCTGTCTCCTTGCAGCGGTCGCTTACCGTCTTCCCCTTGGCTGGCCATTTCAGTTGTGTTGAAAATCAATTGATATTTCCCAGTTGGACAGACAAACAAGCAGATAAAGCGTCAATTTAGTCCAAACGGGAGCTGCAGGGCGATAATTTCATTCCGACGCACTTCACGTTATCTTATCTACCTACTCAAATGAGCCATAAAGCTAAAAGGCAACTACTGCGAAAGCTAAACGCGCACGTGATTGGTCAGATGACTCTGGGAAACAGCTTCAATGACGGCTCTCCGCCCATAGCCGGAAGTAAAAATCCAATACAATTTCTCCGGGCGGGCGGCGACTGTGATGGTCTATTGCGTTGCATTTGCGATACGCACATCGAAGCTTCAGTTGTCATACGTAACAACATCACTAACGTTACCACTCAGAGTCTTACCTATTAAAGACACCGGCGTCCAGCGCGGCTCCGACTCTGAGCACCCATCCGATCACCCATCCGCCTGCCAAGATCTCGTTCTTCAGAGGGATGTCTTTGCTTCCTCTACGGGCGAGAATAAGAGAAGTGATGTGTTTTGAATCGTCCGAATGGACTTTTCTTCGCTTTGTGATGGAATTGTTGTCTCCTTGCCGCGGTCGCTTAGCGTTTTTCCTTGGTCTGGCCATTTCAAGTGTTGAAAATCTATTGATATTTTCCAGCTGTACAGACAAACAAGCAGATAAAGCATCAATTAAGTCCAAACGGGAGCTGCAGGGCGATACAATTCATTCCGACGCACTAAACGTTATCTTATCTCAAATGAGCCATAAAGTTAAAAGGCTACTACTGATGTTTTGGCAGATCTCCACGTCACCATTCACATGACTTACACACCGTAATGCTAGGTGAAAAACGACGCTCGTATTTTAACTGTTTATTGAAATATGTGATTGTATGGTCATTACATTATACAGTTCTGATCCAAATAACATGGAAAATGGAATAAACAACACTAACCCTTCACTGAAAACGTATTGATTCAGAATATTCAGACAATAATAAATGAATTGCGCGAAATTTCCGATAATTTAAGGTACTTTCGTTTACAACGAGATAATCGTGCAAACATAATAAAAGTAATCTTTTTTTCAAGGTATTCCATTCAGAGAGTTGCTGTTTTGTTTTTTTCATTATTTTATTAGAAATTTTATGGTTTTCATTAAACATTTTAAATTCAATTTGTTTGTCAAAGTACTGGTCAAGTATTAAATTTAATTTACACAATTTTTAAACACCTTAAAAATTGTCACTTTCAGTTAAAATAGTAAAGTAGGGATATTTTTTTTTAATTACGCTTTCTATCTTTTATTCACCCACGTTTCATTTTATTTATTCATTTACTTATTTCCCCACATTTTTCACAATATGAAATTGCTTTAAACAGTAATAAATCAGTGGACACCCAAACACTGCAAAACATGAATAGGAAACATACAATATAGTAAGTATCATTGTTTCGCGGTTTTACAGTACAGCAAATCATGGAGTGACGTCACGTAAACTCAGTCTCACCTATGAAAGACACCAGAGTCCAGAGCGGTTGTGATTGCCCATCCGATGAGTAGTATGAAGCTGCAGACTCGGAGACCTGCATCTACAGTCCCCCTGCACCCAGAGTCTCGCATTCTCAGACCCCTCGTTTTTCGAGACAGCGCCTCCTATAAACATGTGAAGAACATGGTGAAGAACTTAAGCCAAAACGTGAGTAGGCTATCTTCAATTTTATTTAGCGAATCGTGGTAGCCTACTCGTTTGATTTATTCTTAAATAAAACTAATTTAGCTCATCGATACAACATATGAATAGTCCATTTAATATTTGTAAAGATAGTTTGTAACAAGATTTGAGCCGTTATGTATGTTTTTTCGCCCTTTTCCCCCGAAAATATTTTGATGGCTAACGTTAGCCTTTAACCTTGGACTTATATGTCATAAATGCTGCAGTTATTTTCACTGCCCGCATATATTTCAAACCCACAAAGTTGTCCAAAGTTCAAAAACATCTCAAGGGACACTTCAACAGAGCAGTGCAACATAAAGGTAACATTTGCAAACATCTTTTTTTTTTTTTTTTCAACGGCTCTGGGTCAGCTATTAAAGAATTAGCGCAGATCATGACCGACCATGTGCACTGCATATGATAAAAAAACTACACTGACACTGGGTTGAAACATGATGCGTAATATTAATACTTATTACAAGTCACATTCAAATATGTTAATTTTATTATTCTTATATTTACCATATGATAACCATATATGATTTTGACGGTCTCCGTAGAGACCGTCAAAATTGCCAGTGCTATATTTCGTTTTATATTTTTCCTTCTTCACAGGAAAGTTTAGATATTTAAATGGAATAAAACGCCAATAACAAAGTGAACTAGGTATGTTAGCTGATTACCTTAAAAATCCATAGATATCGTAGTCAGTTCTTAACATAGACAGTAAAAGGTTCTTAAGGCCGTTAACACTTTTTCTGACAAGCAGCGGATGCGATGAGACCATAGACTTTAAAAAAAGAGGAAGAGAGTCGTTTTCCGGTTTTGTCACGTGACGTTTGGCATAAAGCCTATTCAGACTTACTACCTTGAACTGTATGGTAACCAGCTATTTACTATTATACTTTATTTTCTGGGAGGGATAGACATGCATCTCTTCAATGGGCTGTACTGTTATTTAATGTGTTTTCGGATTGTTCTGCTCATGAAACACTGGAAAAATATCTTTCCAAGAAATTTCAGTTGACAAAAAACTCTCGACAATGTAAGTTGTGGAAAATTGTAAGTAATCTAGGAGCTTTAATCAGCTTTTTACAGCGGATGCCATTGGTTAAACGGTGAGTCTATCCCTCACAGCCTCACATAACATTCATAGACCTATCATGGCGCTGCTCTGATTAAGGTCTATAGCTCAGCTTCTTTTAAAACATGCGTAGGTAAGTGACTAAATTGATTTCAGATACTGTTTCAGTCACTCTCGTAAATTTACATTTTATTCTAGCGATTATAATTATAGGTGGTAGACTATCGTTTTCAATCTCTAACTAATTCTTACTTTCACCATGTAATTCAGTCTCCGTAGAGACCGTCAAAAATTGCCAGTGCCGACTATATTTCAAGTCGTCACGGCGGGGTATTGGGTAAAGTTTTCAATTAGCAATAATCGCGCCTCGGATAAACCTCATAGGCTACGATACTGCCACTGCGCAAAGCTGAATTTGAAATCAGCCAAAGAGGGGAAGTGATCGAACAACACAGGAGGTTCATCAATGGTAAGTGTGTTTACTGTTCCCTAACGCGCCAACAAGGTCGCAGTGGGCTGGAATATGTAATCGAAATGCTGCAACAAAAGTAAGTCATCGAAAATATGTGTTTTTTTTTACATTTTGAACAAAAATATAGACTCGTGGTTACTCTCGCGCAGTGCATGCTGGGATATCCAGCAGTTTCTAAGAATACGCGGAAAGAAGTGCCTCAAATTCTTTACGAACATATTTTTCGCATACATGCACAAGCGTACATAAAAGTAATTTTTCTCTGCAGTCAGTGGCAGTGCAATGCAGTGATCCCTCGTTTCTTTATCACATTTATAATGTACAACCTGCTTTCATTATCAAAACTGAAAGTGACCACCAGAGGGCGGTATTTACTCTCTTAAAATAATCATTCCCCATTGACTCTATCATCTTAAGTTGGGAAATCTATTTAAAATAGAGTAAATGTTATAAACAATAGTTAAAAGCGAATTTAACATCATATTCGCCGGTGGAGTGGGACAAATTATCCTTCGAGTTGCAGTGATGATCCATTTGCTTGCAGTAAGTTAACGTTAGGCAAGAAATTAGGTCTAAAAATGTTGGGTACCTACCATATAAACCCTGATTGTATGTATTTTCATATCGTGTGATTATTCTAGCAATATTATACTGAACGTACGTAATAACTCGTTTAAGCAGTTCAGAGCGTTAACATTTGGTCCATTTATTCATAAACATTCGACCTAGCCAGTTGTTCTTAATTATACACAACACAAACATCAAGCAAATTAACAACAGTCGTATGCTGTTTGCCTGCCTTACTCTTAGATAATGGACGTTTGAGATGCTCTTGCTAAACGCAGGAGAAGGGTCTGACTGCAGACAGATATTATTGAAACGCAGTGAAGAAGTTTGAGGAAAGTCTACCGTTTCACAGCACACGCACACCACCAGAGGCCGCCACACATGCAGTTTTATAGTTCACCACCAGAGGCCGCCACACATGCAGTTTTATAGTTCACCACCAGAGGCCGCCACACATGCAGTTTTACAAGTTCAACACCAGAGGTCACCAAAAACACTTTAAAGTTTCAGCCTCACAATCATTCTTACATGCAAGTTTCACCTAATAGTCAGTTGGTCACAGTTTCAGCTACTCTACTGTTTTGCTCTTGATTATTTTCTTGTATCATTTCAGCTTTATTGATAAACTGAATTCATGCATTAGGTTACATTCAAACTAACTGAAATAAAATCCCAGAAGAAACCAGATGATTTATTGAGCACATGTCATTTATTACAGAACAAATGGAAAACTGTCAAGTTTAATAAGTGCGAACCATATCGTCATCGTCCATAGTACAATGGTGTGATCATTAGCCTATTAATATACTTTGTTGAGCTCTTTGAAATTACACATTACTTCAAGATCAACAATTATAGAAAACTATCCGTGTCATAAATGCCTCACGTTATATCATATATGATCAAGGAACATAAGAGAACATAGAAAAGAGCATGACAAGGACTTAAAGAAATACAGATGAAAAGTGCTAGCAAGGCCATTTGTCATGTGACAGCTAGATTTGGTCCACCCTCGGGGGTGAGGAACTGCACTTTGGGCACGGCGAGTGCCGAATTGTTGCGGCGCATGGAGTTGCCCTTGCGCATGGAGTTGTTCCGCCGCATAGAGTTCCTCTTGCGCAAGGAGTTCTGGTGCGACAGCTCGCTCTTCTGGAGCGTCTGGATCAGGATGGAGGGCTTCTCGTCCAGCTCGCGGGCGCTGCACTGCGGCGTGGCCACTTTGACCGTGTTCCCGAACTTCGAGTAGTCCACCGAGTACACGCCCTCTTCCTCGGTCACTATAGGCAAGAAGCGGTGGCCCCACTGGATCTCCTCGGTCACGTACGAGGTGCGAGCCTGAGTGGTGATGCCCGTGGTTTCCACGACACCTTCCAGGATTACGATGACCTCCAGGTCGCTACACTGAAGCTCCATCGCCGAGAGGTCGTACAGGGGACTGTCCTTATCGATGACGTGACAGATGATGAGAGGCGCTAACAGGAAGATGCTGTTGCTGGCCACCACGCTCTCGGTCTGGACGTCGATCTGGTGAATGGGTATGATCTCGCCCTCCGGCGTGGTGGTCTTTCGGACCACTTGGAGGCGCACGGCAGCGTTGATGATCATGCTTTTGCGCAGGTCTCCCACCCGGATCATGAAGCACAGGCGGTTGTTGCGCACGGCGATGACGGCGTACCGGCTGAAGATGAGGGTCTCCGCGCGCCGGTGGGACTGGGCCGTCTTCATGAAGATGCAGCCCAGCATGACGGCGTTTATTATCAGGCCGATGATGTTCTGTAATATGAGCATGGTGATGGCTGCCGTACACTGCTCCGTTATCATACGCCCTCCGAAACCTATCGTCACCTGCACCTCGATGGAGAAGAGGAAGGCAGAGGTGAAAGAGCTGGAAAAGATGAAGATGAGTCACAGTTTTAGGCTCCTAAAATGATTCAAATACGTTTCTTTCTACGATGGTATTTTTTAACAATACCATCCAATTACAGCACTTCTTTAATGAATTTTATACAATACAACACACATCAATTGTCACCTAAATGTCATTCTAAATTTAAATTATTATTTTTGAATGTCTTTCTTCTTTATAACTATATAAATTATATTAAATAATTAACCAACACTGTAAAAAAATATTGTTGGTTTGACTTAAAAAATAAGTAACCTGGTTGCCTTAAAATTTTAAGTTGATTGAACTGGAAAAAGTGAGTTAATACAATGAAGGAGATTGATTTAATCATCATAAACTCAAAATAATAAGTTATCTGAACTAAATAAATTATTTAAGTTGATTTGACAAGAAAAAAAAATGTTGTGATAACAAATTTTGAAAATATTTTTTTTTTACAGTGAATCAGTAATACCATTGATCAGCTCTACCAAACGTGGATGTTTTTTCATTAAGAAACAAACATTGTTATTATGTTTTGATTGATATTGTGAAGCTGCTATGATGCAATCTATATTGTGAAAAGCATATATATACTTGACTATAATTACTTTTACTAATTATAATTTATAATTATAATTACATAGAATGACTAAGTTTGTCTAAACGTTGTACTAGTATAATGGTAACTATATGTGTGGCTATATAGGCTATATATTAGCCTATATATATATATATATATATATATTTGATTTTTCAACTTTCAAAAATGCATCAAATTTATGCTGAACAGGAACGATTTCTTATATATTTTTTTATTCAAAAAGATCTGCTTTAAACTTAGTGCATTTACTAGAATGAACTTACAATGCATCTGATTCCAGTCATTAGTTTTGCCATGATAAATCTGAGTTTTGATACATGTTTGGGGAGTCTGAACATCATTATAGTGATAGTCTCCATCTCACGCGTCAAGTCAGACTCTTCTGATGTCTGTCACTTAACATCATTTTACCATTGACCAAAATGATTTGAGCACACTTACTTGACATTGGTGACGCATTGGTCTACGACAGGTTTACTGTTTGTGTTCAGATCCCCGTGCGCAAACGCCACCAGCCACCAACCCATAGCGAACAGCAGCCAGCTGCACAGGAACGTCATGGTGAAAATAACCAGCGTGAAACGCCATTTGAGATCCACCAGAGTAGTGAAGACGTCCTGCAGGAATCTGCCCTGCTCGCGGATGTTCTTGTGGGCCAGGTTACACGCGCCGCTCTTGGCGATGAAGCGCGCTTTGTTCACCCGGTCCCTAAACACGGGTTTGCGGGGAACCCGCGACACGAGCGCCGGTAGCGCGAACTCCTCAGGAATGATGCTTTTACGCGGCAACATTATTTGGGCATGTCACTGCAGACGCTCAGGAATGAAGCCTCTCCAACGACTGTCAGACGCGCAGTTCCAGATTAACCATCCTGTCCTATAACTCTACTGAAGAAGCACAAACTGAAGCAAAAGTCTATCAGTGTTAATTTGTGAGTTCATTAAATAAACTTTAGGCTACATAAAGAGCAGAACACACATCATGTACCGCTAAAAGTCGTCAAAAAAGTATCTTCATGATGATTGTGCAGCGCTCTTGACGCACATGGGCGGTACATGATGACTGTCCTGCTGCCTCCGAGAAGCATTCGCCCTGCAGAGGAGAGTTTTAAAAAACTTATTTAAAAGATTGCATTATTTCTATCCGCCCTTATTTTATAGACTGGAAAAAAGGTTACAAGTAAAAACGGAGTTCATACAGTAGGCCTATTTACATACTAATAACTTATATGCCAGTCACAAAATAATTGCTGGTCAGGACATTTACAAAATGTGTAAAATTTGTACAAATTGAATATGTGTCTACATAGTTCTGCAATTTGATATAATGTTATTGTAAGAATGCAATGGGTTTCAAACTGGGGCCCGGAGCCTCCTAGAGGGCCGCAGAGGGCGCTAGAGAGGAAATGTATTTGACTTTGTAAAAAAAAAAATATATATATTTACCTTATTTAGACTTTACTGAAATTATTTTATTATTATATTATTTTATTCTGCTTTGAGAACTGGTCGAAAACCATCAGATTAATCTTGATTGTGTTATACTGAATGCCAGAAAGTCCCGAAAGTAAAATGATAATAATATAATAATTTCTTCTATGAGACGTCTTCTATGAGATATGTTTTTCCACTTTTTTTTAGGCTCCTCACTGTAATATTCTCTGACAAATATCTGGAGTGATATTTATCGTGAAAAGCGCTACATAAATCTGAATAAAAAATATTTGTCTTCAGGTTTAAACCTCTAACACTATCCTAAGAAAAGGATAAAAGATACACTGACAACTTAATACGAAGTAATCCAGTTTTCTTTGGCCAATTTAAAAAGCAGTTATTTAAATGTTATATTTAGCCTTAATAAGTTTCTCAAACATTATACATGGGTTTCTGTATATAAAAATATATAGCTGCCTATAATAGTAATAGGAATGGGGCAAGATAC